GGGTTTAAGGGTTTGGGGCTTAGGGGTTTAGGGTTTACGGGTTTCGGGTTTAGGGTCAAACGAACTCCCTAAGAAATAGTCTGGATTTCGAGGTCTATAGGGTCTAGGCCTCGGGTTTTCGGCCCGTAGCAAGTCTCTCCTTCCACTTGCTGTCCCTAAACCCTAGACCCTAGACCCTAAACCCTAATCCCTAAACCCTAGACCCTAAACCCTAAACCCTAACACCAGATCACGGAAAGGGCACTAAAAGTAGAAGCGGAAGCTGGTGATGATGTGATACTACACAGCCTTAAGGAGGAACTGTACCCTAAAAGGGTGTAAGGTTCACATTCCGCAGAGGAATACAGTATGTCATAGTATCAGTGTGTATAGGCCTCTTACTCTTAAGGGCCATTTGGTCCTTAAGGATTGCCAACGCTTTTTCAGACGAGATGTACACGCTGCAGCGGGAACAAACTCCGTGCACTGAGTCACCCGCGGCAATCTAGAATGCCTTTCAATGGTCACAACACACCATCTTATCGAACGAAGCTGTCGGTTCAAGAACTCCCTGCGCAGTGGGGGTTGAAAGAAACTGCTTTGGTTTTAAGGATGAGGAATCCGTCAAATAACCAGAATCCCGCAACCAAAGAACAAACTATGGATCTTTATTTTTCAATCGAGAAATAGGCGAACCTTACATTCTGACAACACAAGACCTTAAGGACCCCCATGAACCCCGCGAAACAAGTACAAGGACTCTGGACAGGGTCCCACTCAGTGTGTTAAATTACGGCCCGAAAAATTAAGGTGGAGTTTGGGGGGTCTGGGACTATATTGTGGTATAAACTTGTACCAGAGCCCCATGTTATACGACAAGCATATCACGACCATGGTGTATTACAAATTCTTCCGACGCTTGTAGAAAGGCCAGGTAGCCAACAAGTGTTTGGCTTGTCGTCGCGTAACCTCGGGGTCAATCAGCACGCCCACCCAGCAAACAGCGTGCTCATTACTATTGTGGTAACTTCACGATTGGAATTGGGTTTTCGGGTAGATTACTCGCCACATTACAATTATATGTGTGTATATGTATGTATGTA